GAAGAATCAGAATATTTAAAATTCTTCTTTACTTTCTCTACACTGAAGCTGTCACAGTGCTGTTTAGATTCTATTATTAATTACTTAAAAGAGATCTTATTAATCTTTTTCTCAGAGAATTGATTATTCAAATAGATCTGAGAAGTCAGATTGATAAGCTCAGTGTAATTAATTAATGAACTCTGATACTATAATATTATTATCTGCATCTTGTGAGTTAGCTTCACAAGATAAAGCTGTGTCTTTAATTAATTCAAATTATTAATTAATTTCTCTCAATATTCTTCAAATCTTGTATTGAAATTGAAAGAATTCTTATTATCTTATTAATATAATAAGTTAAACTACTGCACTGCTATAAAGCTGCAGTTATAATAATCTTTAATTTAATTCAGTAGAAAGTTCTTGAATTCTTCTTAAATTATTACAGTATCAGTATGCTCAAGCTTTCTCTTCTTAATAATTTAAGTAGTTACAGAGATGTCTTCAAGAAGATTGATAATATATATTACTTATATCTTATAAGTATTATACTGATTTGAATTAAGATGAAATTTTTATTCAAGAGTATAGATACAGCTGTGAAATTCAGATAATATGTTTTTCTTATATCTTAGAGAATCTTTGATTTTAATCTCTCTATCTTTATAATAGATATAGATGTGTAGAGACTGTGATAATAACAGAGCAGTTGAAGAACTTATATTAAAGTATACAGTGAGTTCAGAAATCTTGAATTTCTGCTAAAGTAGAGATATACACACTCTAGAAGATAATATAGTGTTTTTCTCAGAGAGTGAGATCAGATTAATCTTAGTACAGATATATAAGATTATATCAGTCTGTTAAAGCTTATCTGATTCAAACTTATGATTAGATTAAGTAATTTAAATTATAATATAATGAAACTGAAGTAGTAGCTAGTTAGCAGTGTTATATAGAGATAGTTGTTTAAGAAGCTGTATAAATAAGCTTGACTATCTTACTTAAATAGTGAGCTTATAGACTACAGAGTTATTACAAGAATATTACAGATATGATACTTAGTATACTAAGAAGATTATATGAGAAATACAGTAACTCTCATATATATTTCAGTAGAAGATAAATAAATCACTGACTTTTTTAATAAGAAGTCAGTATCTAGCTATTCTATATAAATAATAAGTGAATACTCTTCTCTCATTTCATGAGTGAGAATAGTCAGAGTGATATCTCAGTGATGTTTTATTATTAAGAAAGAGTAATCTGCTAATCTTATATAGAAGTAAGGTTCTTATATTTATTAATCAGATCTTTCTATAATATATCTGAATAATATTATAGAGTGATTACAAACTAGTTTAAATAATCTGTGAAATAAATGAAATCATCCGCATGAAAGCAATGAGCCGTGTGAAACCGCAGCAGAGTCTTGACGCGGTCAGAGATGTGATAAGAAGTAAAAAACTATTTCTAAGATCTTTTTTTTATATTAACTGCTGTAGAAGAATGAGATAGATACTATTAAAATATATACTACTATATACTCTCTATCAAGACTTTCTCTCTTCAGAGTCTTGATATTATAGAGAATATAAGTCTGTTTCTATATAATAATATAAATATTGTTAGCAGAATGTAGAGAAACTGATTATTTATATCTTAAAATAGAAGACTTTATCAATGATTATATTAATATAGAATTAATTCTGAAATTCAATAGAAATCTAGTATTACTATTCTTAATCTCTTGCAGAATCTATTAAATATTGAGATATTAAAACTAGATTTAATATATCTCACTATGCAGAGATCAAAGACTCAGTCAGATCTTGAGATATACTGAATTTATAGTTGTTAATATGCTGTTAACTTATTCTGTTGACTCATTGTCTGCTGATTATATATTAAATACTGTTGCTGAGGTATCTTTTTGTATTATTCTGTCAGAGATGAATCAGATTGAGAGGAGTGATATGAGAGTGAGACTTGATGTTGATGTTTAGATACACTGAAGACAGACAGAGTATTCATGAAGATTGCACTTCAGAAGTATCTGTTGATTATGTGCTTGATATTATTATTGCTGAGGTATCTTTTTGTATTTTTCTGCCGGGGATGGGCCAGATTGGGAAGGGCGGTACGAGGGTGGGACTTGGTGTTGATGTTTTGAAACATCAAAGATGGACAGGGTTTTCACGGAGGTCGCTCCTCAGATATCTCCACAATCACAGATCAGAGATCTTTCAAAATCGAGAAGATTGATGCATATGACTAGGTCTTTTCACCTTACAATTTGTATGGCAATTTGGCCCGGGGTTGTGGTGTGGTAGGGGAGAATAGGGGATAATCCCACACAGGAGTTTCGAACAACGTCTGGTTCATGTTTGGCTGGATAACTCCACCACCACACGGGGTATGCGGTCGGCGATGGGGTCAAAATGCTCGTATGATCGAGGGCTTTTCGATGGATCTATCGGCGGGTTCTTATTCGAAAAATTGAGCGAGTTCGTGGTGAAGCGCTGAATAAACTGATGATGTAGATGTGTAGAGACTGTGACAGTGATAAGACAGTTAAAGAGCTTATATTAAAATATGCAGTGAGTTCAGAAATCTCAGATTTCTGCTAAGATAGAGATATACATACTCTAGAGAATGATATGAAGTTTTCTTCAGAGAGTGAGATTAAGTCAGTCTCAGTACAGATATATAAGATTATATCAGTCTATTAATAAAGCTTAACTAATTCAAACTTATAATTAGACTGAGTGATTTAAATTGTAATATAATGAAATCAAAGTAGTAACTAGTAGACTGACCGTGTGACCGTGTCTGAGACTAGGACCAGAATTTTTGATAGTTTCATTGTCAATTCAACAGATCCCATTACACAGTTCTAACATTAGATAGTAGTTTCATACTGTCTCAGTGAGACTTACTGTCTACTCTTGTCACATTTTCCAAATGAGACCATGATTTCCACTTCTCAATTTAAATTATTTTTATTGCTTTAAATGACTTTAAATCTCATTTGAGTGTTATCAAAAAGTGTTACTTTTGAAAAAATTAAAAATAGTCTAAAAAAAACTTTAAAATGTCTAAAAATAGTAACTTTATGTCAAGAATGAGACTAAATGAGACCAAATGAGATCACTTTCTCATTTTTTTCAAGTTATGATTCTATTTTGAGATCTGATATATAGTCACTTTGCATGTTTATTTAATGATTAGTCCCAGTGGAATTCATGCCAAGAAATGTATGAGACCAGATCAAATGAAATCAAATGTGAAATTCATGATCTCAGCGGTCAGTCTAGTAACTAGTCAGTGATATTATATAGAGATAATTACTTAAAAAGCTGTATAAGTGAGCTTAACTATCTTACTTAAATAGTGAGCTTATAGACTACAGAGTTATTATAAGAATATTACAGATATAGTACTTAGTATACTAAGAAGATTATATAAGAAACATAGTAACTCTTATATATATTTCAGTAGAAGAAAAATAAATTACTAACTTCTTTAATAAAAAGTTAGTATCTAGTAGACTGACCGCCAGAATCATGAATTTCACATTTAGTTTCATTTAATCTGATCTCATACATTTCTTGATGTGAATCTCACTGGAACTAATCATTAAATAAACATGCAAAGTGACTATATATCAGATCTCAAAATGAAACCATGACTTGAAAAAAATGAGAAAGTGATTTCATTTGATTTCATTTAGTCTCATTCTTAGTATAAAGTTACTATTTTTAGACATTTTAATGTTTTTTTTAGACTATTTTTAATTTTTTAAAAAGTAACACTTTTTGATAACACTCAAATGAGATTTAAAGTCATTTAAAGCAATAAAAATAATTTAAATTGAGAAGTGAAAATCATGATCTCATTTGAAAAATGTGTCAAGAGTAGACAGTAAGTCTCACTGAGACAGTATGAGACTACTATTTAATGTTAGAACTGTGTAATAAGATCTGTTAAATTAGCAATGAGACTATCAAAAATTCTGGTTCTGATCTCAGACATGATTACACAGTCAGTCTAGTATCTAGCTATTCTATATAAATAATAAATGAATATTCTTCTCTTATTTCATAAGTAAGAATAGTCAGAGTAATATCTCAGCAGTGTCTTATTATTAAGAAAGAGTAATCTGCTGATCTTGTATAGAAGTGAGATTCTTATATTTATCAATCAGATCTTTTTATAATATATCTGAATAATATTATAAAGTGATTGAAAACTGATTTAAATAAGATAAAATCATGCGCATGAAAGTAATAAGCTGTGTGAAACCGCAACAGAGTCTTGATACAGCTGAAAGTGTGATATTTAATCTTATTTAATCTGATCTTATATATTTCTTAATATGAATCTCACTGAGACTAATTATTAAAAAAACATATAAAGCAACTATTTATCAGATCTTAAAATGAGATTATAACTTAGAAAAAATAAGAAAGTAATCTTATTTAATTTCATTTAGTTTCATTCTTAGTATAAAGCTACTATTTTTAGACATTATAAGGTTTTTTTAGACTATTTTTAATTTTTTAAAAAGTAATAATTTTTGATAATACTTAAATAAGATTTAAAGTCATTTAAACTAATAAAATAAATTTAAATTGAGAAGTGAAAATTATAATCTTATTTGAAAAATATGATAAAAGTAGATAGTAAGTCTTACTAAAATAGTATAAGACTACTATATAATTTTAAAACTATGTAATAAGACTAATTAAATTAATAATAAGATTATGAAATATTCTGATTCTAATCTCAGATATAATTACACAGTCAGTCTATACTAGTTAGTCTACTTATATGAGATTTAAAGTCATTTAAAGCAATAAAGTAAATTTAAATTAAGAAGTGTAAATTATAATCTTATTTAAAAAATATAATAAGAGTAGATAGTAAGTCTTACTGAAACAGTATAAAACTACTATCTAATCTTAAAACTGTGTAATGAGATTAATTAAATTGATAATAAAATTATCAAATATTCTGATTCTGATCTCAAATACAGTTATACAGTCAGTCTACTCTCAGCTATAAAATTATCAATCTACTGTTCTTATTAATTGTTTAGAATCTACTTACTAATCATCAGAGTCAGAGATGTCAGAGAGAATAAATAGAGTATTAAGTTCATTACAAGCTGCTATCAACCTCTCAAATCTCTCTTCTCTTAATACAATACTCAGTTATTAAAATTTTCATCAATATATAATGCATTCTGAACAACATCTGAATGTTGAAGAATGAAAATAAGAAGTTCTCAAGCAACAGAAGATACGCGAGTATGTTCTAGTCTTGTCTTCAAGTGAGTGAAAATAATGAAGAAGGTTCTTCACCGCAGTTTACTCAACTCTTTATCAGTGAGAAATTTATAGCATTGAGCAAGAGAGAACTGAAGGTCAAAGTTTCTGTTAATTGACTGAAAGAAATATTGAGGATTCCCCTTGCACTTTTCAGCAAAGTGTTTCAGGTCTTGGGAGAGAGTGATTGCAGCTGGAATTTTTTTAACTGCTCTCTGAGTGGGACTTTTACAGCCAGTGATTTTGTTTCTTGCAACAGCTGGTAACGCTTTCCAAATCGGTGTGGCATAAGAGGCAACCTATCTGGTGTGAGTAACAATTGAGAATAAAACACGCCTCAAACTGTTGACCATGCGCCGATTGTGTTCTTCTCCCCAAATAGGGTCAAAGGAAGCACCCCGGAATATGTGAAGTGACAAGCAAAGGCGATCTCATTCCCGGCGTTACCGGCGCTGTTTAAAGTGCAAGAATAATGTCAGATTTTAGGTATTATAATGGCGGCAAATGGGTGTTGGTAGATAAAGTATTCGAGATATCAATGCTGCTAATTTTTTGTGATATCAAACCGTTGGGTAGAATAATATCAGGTCATCCATTATAGGGTGATGGAGTATGCCTTGTTTGATTTTCTGCCGTACATGCGTTTTTTGTTCTTCTTTGGAAAGGTCAATAATTTATGGAAAGTTAGTTAAATCAACAGACAATGGTCGCAATTAATAGCCGCTTAGTTGTTCAAAAATACTTATCCAAGACGCATATCCATGTAGCACAGGTGATCTTGAAGGGTGCACCATACGATCCACAAGTTCCAAATGGTGTGTAGGTATGATCAAGGTCACGATCGAGCTGTTCTTTCAGTAGTTGCACAAGCTTCACCCGGTTGGTGAATATCATTCCGGGCTGTCCGGTTCGCTGATCTGCTATGGTTCTTCCCTTCTGGCATACATTCGATGGCAGAGATAATTTAGAATTTTAGGGTTCAGCGAAGGGATAATAGATCACTGGAACGGAATTACTCGATTTGATTATCTAAATATCTATTTGCGTCTTTTCTGGGGCAACTTGAATGCTTCTGAGGATTTCCCTTCATTTTCCCGCGGAGGACCCGAGGGGGGAACCGGTGAATCGGGGGGAGATGGCTGGGCTTCCTCTTCCAATACAGATGTAAAGCTTGAATCTTGTACATCGACACCCTCAATTCCTTGTGAAAGTCCAGTTGATTCTGAAAAACCCGGCTCGGGCTGCGGTAATATTTCAGGATGCTGTGATACGTCTAGCTTAATCTCCGGTAGTTCATTAATAGCCGAGCACAACCTTTTGAAGTGAGAAGGGGCCCAGTCGTCATACACGCTCATCACGAACTTATAGCATGTCCATTTCTCTTTGCCATCCAGCGCTGCGAAACTAAACTCATGAATGGGGTGACGGTAATAGGTGGTCTTATTTCCATCAATCACCGGATAGTGACCGTAGATCCTCACCATTCGATGATCATGCGAAATTGAAAAGGAAAGAATCTGTCGATTTAACTCCTTTTCACGCTTCACAACCCTGAAGAGCTTGACAACACCTCTTACTGAGAGAGTCATGCTGTGCGCATTCTGTCGATCTGCTATATCAAGTGCCGCTTTTCCACACTTCACTTCAACTGTCATAAATGGAAAGTACATGTAAGCAGTACTCATAAAGAATGACATATCGCCAATTTCACCGACAAACGGCGCAAGTTTTTCCAGTTGATCCTCAGAGAAGCATTGTCGGGGAAACCCGACCGCGTAATCGGGCTGTGGCCGAGATAATCGAAATTGTCGAGATTGTGGAAGTGGAGTTTGTGCAAGTGGTGGCAATCGTTGATCCTCATCTAGGGAAATCGAGCTATCCCAGCCTTCATTCACGCTAACCACCAAATGTGGAAAAGTGACATGGCTGAGGTCGATTGCACTCTCTGCTGACGGAACGATTAATTCACCTATGATGCGAGTAACCCCAGCTTCGTTTTTCTTTTGTAGCCTTCGACATGTCGATTCAAAGGCACATTGTTCAAACACAGTTCCCTTAGGAACCTTGGGATTTGCGCTTAGTATTTGACGACAGGTAGACTTGCTGTTGCTATCAATACCATCATCATGGTCATACATAAAACAGCCCTTAGTCTCCAGATATGTATCATAGTTCTTGTTAGTGTAAGGTCTACTCTTCGCCTCTCGCGAACTCGTTTCGCTCGCAGTGATCAAACTACCGTTTGACTTCGTCCGGCGAAGAGATGGGGTGTTTGGTCGGGCAAGAAAGTGTTCCATAGTGTTGGGTTCTGAAAGCTTTTTAGGCCACGTGAATTTGTTGTGCGTCCAATGCTCAACAAGTCTATTCTTGTCGGTTCTTGGCCGCTTCGATGAGGGATCGGGGTTATCAGATGGACACTCAGGTTCCGGGTGTAGTCGTTTATGCTTTGGTGAATGCTGTTGCGACGAGATTGATGAACCATGAAGAGTCTTAGGATGAATTAGCTGCTGTCGGAGGATCATACAGGTGATAAACTTACCTCTCGTTTGATGATCTGGGTCAAAGGGAGATTAATGCTCCTGTGTTCCTTTATTCTGTAGACTGCATCCACACCAGAGTTGGTAGGGTTCGTACGCCGTCGTTTTTCAAGACACCTGGCTGGTTTCCCAGGCGTGCATGATCGCTTCTGTTTATGATCGTTTACTTGTATTTCCTGACCATCAATATTAGTTTTCCATAGCACCCAGAGGATGATGGGTATCATACAGTCTTTCCGAGTGAGCGACTCGTGGGGTGTTTAGTTTCCTGCTCACAGAAAGGAT